AGAACCTTGGAGGGGTAGGAGTATAGTGGACGAAAGACAGACACTATTGCACAAGTTATCAGTAGTGTGGAAATGCCAAGATGCGAAACGGTAACCAGCCAACAGCAGGTCGCAATGACTCCCACAAAGGAGAGGATCATTTAGAAGCGCAGTAGTATGCGCACGAGGGACGGACCTACAAGTAATGCACACCATACAACCACTAGACACAGGAACAAACCAGCAAAGATGAGTGAATGTCTCGTTTGTTGGAACCGATGCACCCAGTATAAGCTATGTTTGACACCATAAATAATTACGCTTGCACCTCGGGTTCTTACACCATGATTGTCAGAATTATCTTCCGGTCACTGTGGTAAAGCCAATATGAGGTGTCTACACCAGGGACTAATTTGGCGAGAGCCAAAGCCGGGTATTCGAGAAACTGACAGACAGTCGTGTAGTGTGCGCATGGTCAACACTTGGCGGCTGACATCTAACAGGGTTCAGACATTCCAATAGAATGAACAATGGCTTCTGGGGATTGAGGGGCCCAGCAAGCTTACTTGTCACTTAGACCAATGGGTCAAGACAGAGCGCGTCGACTAAAGGGAACACCGTAGCATGAAAAGAATCGAGGGTAGCGGAAGTCATGCGATTTCCTGAAGAGTATGGATTAGTATGAGGACCCCAACCTCATTTGGCTTTTGTTCGGAAGATCACCTACAGCCTTTGCACAGCCATTTGCTACCATCAAGGCAGCAGTAATCGAGGAAATCGTCTTAACTTCTCGCCGTTGGGACGGAAACTGATCTCTTCAGCCCAGAAGAAGTTCACCCGTCGACAGTTTGCCAACTTGGGCGTATCAATCAGCAGCATGCACCCATGTATCTGTACCTTTTCTGTGGTGGAGTTTGTTCAGTTGGTGATAGAATTTACCTTTAACAGAGTCAGCGCTATAATTTGTGGGCACGTAAGCCACAATGACAAACATTCACCGTTTGTCCCCACGCGACTTCTAGGCTCTGAACCAGCCAGCCAAACTGATGGCGTACACCCAGCTGTTGACCGGGATCCAAGGTATCGACACAGCTTCCACCCGAGGACTCAAAACAATGTTCACACCGGCTTGACCATTTTTTGAGGCTGTGCCATCTCCATACATGCGCAATGTGAATGTGCTGTCAGTGTTGCATATGGAGGATTGCAGGTTAATCATGGAGTTCGAATCTTGCAGGCGGGTTTTCGACAAGCAGCAGATCTCGATCGATAGGGTCTATTGTGTTCCAGCAAGTGCTGCCCGTTGGTCAATCTGCAACAAAGTGCGCATGTTAAGACATGTTAGTCTAAGCGAGAATCGGAGATTCCGAAGAGAAACGGAGGAACTGACATTGTCTGCTAGGTTGACTTGTCGACTGGACTGAAGCGACGCCTTGCGATTCCGTGTGAGTCGAAACTGGAAGAGAAAGGACCATTAAAGCAAGATGGGGGAGGGGGATTAAAACAAAGGGGATGAAATTGAAATTGCAATGGAAAGATAAGGTTGAAAAAGCGAGAGGAAAAAATAAAAAAACGGGAAGTTCTGAGCAGTAACATTCAAACCACTATTTACCCTGTTCGATGCAACAGATAAGAAGCTGTTTATTATTGACTGCAACAGCATATGAGAGATTGCTTGGAGGAAAACTCGTTGTGTTGTATTGCGTAGGAAGGATACTGTCAGGTTGCTCAGGCCTAGACAAAAGAGTGAGTAGGGCTCTCAACTAAAACCTTTGGTTCAAAAACATTAGCACAACCCAGCAGGGTTGTGGCATCGAGCTACAAAGAGTCCGTTTTATGGAGTAAGGAGCCACTCTTACTCCAACCCCCAACCTGGAGGGCCAGGAGACTGAGTTTGTTTTGCCTATAACTAGTGACCAAACTGGTAAGAGTGGCTCTGAAGATGCAAAAAGCACTAGCATGAATAGCTCGACAGATCATTGGTTCACACAAAGCATCGAATCACGTTAAGTTGCAGTCTAGTCGCGATGGTGCGTCCCGACTGCCGGGTTGGGGTCTAAAGGATGATAAACACGTTTGGTTTGAGACACTTGCTGATATGGCAAAGAGCCGGCTCCAGCGGGGTTTGTATTGTGAGTTTCTTTGTCCATTGTACTCCTCTTTAGATTCCCACTGTAAGTAAGATCTCATAGCAAATGCATAATGTGATTTAACAATATGTTACTTGCTTCTTGAATTTTTTATTGTAATTTTTAGTATCTGTTCTTCTCGTGCGGCATTCTAGCTGAGGTGTTTCTCACTCTCAGCTAAGGTGGATTGATGATAATGAATTTTGGTTGTTTGACGATTACGTACATGAGGGCTACGGATAGGAGATCAGTGATAAGTTTGTAATGTATCCCAAGGAGATAGTGTGGCCACTTTCTGACAGGTTCCACATGAGTGTGTGCATCTTTTATAACAGCCGAACTATATATGTTTCTTACTGGGGGATAAGGTACTTGAGAAAAAGCCGACTGGGCGATTGTTCTTTATAAGCATGGCTAATGTCGGATGCATCTGTTTTGACAACCAGTAGAATACTGTAATCAACTAGCACGACCATATTAGCATTTTCCAAGACCGTTTTAAGCTGTTCAGATGCATATGCGGTGGAATGAAAAGAACCCGGTTCTTCACGAGCGGAGTGATTTTATCCAGAAGGAAGGGAGCCACTATGAGTAACAGGCGAACATGCCAATAACGCGTCGTTGAGATTTCATATCAATTGGAGGTGGAAGTGGACGCAGAGGTTTCATGTGCTCTAGATCGATCCTGATTTCACTATTAGATATATGGTAACCGAGAAGTTGAGTTTCATCACATGTAATTACGGTTTTAGCATCGTTCGAAGTTATGGCGTATTTAGCAACAGCCGTCAAGAACTTCTAGAGATTTTGAATGTGATCGTGAATAGTTACACTACATATTAATGCTGTTTACATAAGCAAAAGAAGCACTGAGAACTTCTGTTTTCAGTATTCTGTCGACAGTGCGCTGGAAAAAAGCCACATCATTAGTGACTCCAAAGAGAATACGACAAAATTGGAAAAGATTTCGACATGCTTCAAAGGCGCTCAGCAACGGGGGATCTGATGATGGGCATTTTGCAGATCCAGTTTTGTTAGACCAGTAAATTGATGCGATAGACGGAGATAACACAGCAAACCGAATAACACAGAGTAGGAAATATACGCCTTATTGGTGTAACAACGAAGGTGCATCAGATAAAAGACGATTACAGTGCTATAGGTAAAAGGGGGCAAGTGAATACATACGGAAACAGGCTTCCGTTACGATAACGGTAAAAAGCTGGTACGATTGCGTAGAGATGATCATCAATTTCTCAAAAGCACATCTCCCTCTGAAATCCGCATCGAATGACGTTGATAAAAAGCTAGTAAGCGATCAACTAATGCAACTGGTCATTGGTTGAATAATCACCTGACTGTATCGGAAGCATGCATAACTTCATGTGGCAAATCCAAGTACCTACCAGGGCAGCGGATCATTAAAAAGCATCTGAAACTTCTCGTTGCTCACAGGCGGGTGCATGCTGGAAATGAATTTGACGAGACTCATAGGGATCTCACCTCAAAATTGCGTACTAACCCATAAGATAGACAGCGAAGTCCGGTGATTTCATCGTGCATCCAAAATGGAAGCTGCCGCTGCTCATGATAACCATTACAAGTCGTCCCATCTCATACAGGGAACGTGTGTCAGGAAATCTTGTGTTATCGAAAACATACATGACGAAATGAGACAGCCTAATCACAACCTGTCAAAACGCTCGAAGCATTTTGATAAACACCCTGAGAATCAATTCAATCTATCGAAATTACCAGCATCTTTTGTGGCCAGTGTTCGCACTGCTCTTTCAGCTGTCCCAGCGGATCCCAAACTCGTGCAGAAACTGACTGTCGGATCAGACTGCTGAAACCGAATAAGGCTGAAAAATTAGATAGAATATCTCCAATCTTCTTCCAATTCAGGGTATAGATTACCAACAAGATTTCTTAGTGAAACTGTAGAAGCAGGAAACTGTCCCAACCCTCTGAAGCTGCTGTGTTGTCGTGCAATTTATCAAGGAGGCTCACGGTCAGAGTGCCATGATCAAAATGGATCAGTCAGATCAATAGTTTCTTCAGGTCGCCTGCGTTTGTCATTCTTCAAAAATGGACTGAAGCCCGTGAAATTCAGATCCACGCTCCTTACAAAAAATATGGGCCAGGTTTCGCCGAAACCGAGGTTGTATTGACCGCATCTTAAGCTTGCATCAATTACTGGAGTTCCACCATGTATATTCGTGAGACACACTGGTCATGTTTTTCGACACCAGGTACATCTTCGATACGTCAGATCAATGTTCTTTTTGGCAGTGTCATCAGGCAGATGGCCTAGTGAATCAGCCGTCTATCTTGTGCTAAGAAGAACACCGGTCCGAGTTTGAACAGGTACGGGCGAGGTCATCGTATACATGTATGGTAATAAAAGCATGTCAGTATTTTTGTCTTTATTTGCTGCACTGATTTTTCCTGTTTTTTAATCCCATCTAATCCAACCTTATTGCTGGACAAAGACTGAGGTGTATCTCCCCTCTAAATGGCATATTGAATGATGATGATGAGACTTATCGAACCATAAACATTTTTTCGATGGAACCTGTAGCTAGTATAGGCATACCTTAGCATGAGCTGTATGGGATATCCGTGCTCTACCGAAACAAGAAAGAGAAGTATGAAAAAGCCGCAAGATGTTCCGCATGAGGGACTCAATGGAAAGATTTTATCCACCCGAGTTGCCTAATAGCGATAGTGAAAATTAGACGGCAGCCTGAATACATCTAAATGACAATCAGAAATTGACAATGGCAAAAGTGATAAGTATGGAGCTAAATTGGATAAAAGCCGGAATAACATATGAAGAATGTAAGAACAGTAAGTAACAAGGCACAGGCAACATGCACCGTTGAGTCGTACTTGAGAAACAACAGAGACCATATCTTCAGGTGTATGGTTTCGCTCATCAATGTCCAACGAATTCCAGAAAACGACAAGATAGTAAGAGAACCAAGACTGGTACCAGCAGCAACTAGCTCATTTGGATTACATGCCAAGGACAAGATTTTCCCTTCAAAAATAATTACAAAGCAAGATATACCTGCCAAAACAGGAAAAGTATGCTTCATAGCCAGGGGATCGGTCGAAAAGTGACAAATAAAGCCAGCATCGTTGCCAACCTGAAAATGGGTTTCACAACAGTGACTTACAAAGATGGAATCAGAAAACACAAGTAAACATCTACAAACATGGGTTCCAAGGACCGGAATTGATTCCTGAAAGAATACTAAAAGTAAAAAGCAGATGTACCGACTTTGATGGAAAGTAAATCCAGGTCAATTTCACACACCCGACCCAGGGCCCCTGTGTAGAATAACCGGGATTCTAACCAACTGAGAGATTCAACGGAAGTCGTTACAGAGCCAGGAATTCGAGCAACCATAAAGAAATTTCGGCTCTCATCATACACTTCAATTGTAGCATCTGACCTCGCGGCAGCGATCAAGGACGAATCAGATCTGGATAGACATGTAAAAGATTGTGGGGAAAAATCGTAACATTGGATTCGATGGACCGGCAGTTTCATCCTGATTGGCTTTTTCAAAAATCGCGTGCAGCTGCAAGAAAATAAACATGACTTGTGCATATCCAGAGTAAGGCAAGGTTCAAGAACCAGGAAAACTCATACAATGTATCTGATGTAGAGTTGTAAGTTAAATTCAAATGGAAACGGAAAGAGGAAGATGAGTGATTCAACTGCAATAGTTCTTTGTGTGAAGAAAGGGTATAATGAGCTGCTGCAGTCAAAGTCGCGTTCACTGATATGTGGTTGTCTGACGATGTCACAGACAGTGAAGCTGGCTTACCAGGAAACGCACTGCTGAGGTGTGACTACGCTTCCGCTCGTCGCGATGGCGTTGCTTTGTACGTTAACGCTGCATTAACTATTTTCAAAACGATAAACATTCCGTTTCCCAGACAGTTATGTCGAAGCGCAAGTGGTGAATTTGCGTATCTTCCAACTTAACGCTGTGCTGGTTTATAGAAGCCCGATATTGTTGCAAGGGGTCTGATTAATTTCATCCGTGCGTCGCTCGACGAATAAATGTTTAGTGATGGGGACCTTCGATCTTCCAAATGTTGACTGGAAGAATTTCTTCTGTGATGCTGCTTCAGGAAGCATTGTCATCGAGCTTCTAGATCTAGCCCTGCAAATTCCCTTATATCAATTTATTGATCGACCAACCAGGTTCATGGTGAATCAAGTATCGTAACTCTTGGATCCAATCTTCGCCAAGTTAATGAACTTTATCAGTAACATTGAATATGATTCATCTCTAGGTATTAGTGACCATGCATGCCTGTCGTTCAAGTGCGCTCTCAACCGAATATCAAAAATGACTAAACATATGGCGTGCCGATTTTCAAGCAATTAAATCAAAAGCCGCCAACTCACCTTGCGTCATTTCGGACACTGATAATATTCAGGCAGCTTGGGATACATACAAGTCCTATTTATCTATGTTAGCGCTACCTCATATACCAACTTCTGGAAGGAAGAAAATTAAAGCCAGGCCACCCTGGTTAGATTCCGCGGTGGAAAAGCTGCTAAACAGACGGACCAGTTGTTGGCGTGCTTGTGTCCGCCCCTTCGGCATGCACCTTCCAAAAGTATTGAGAAGTTCGAAATGCATGCAGGTATTATTTGTCACGTGCTCAGTTGCATCATGAAATCGAGCTAGCCCGTACATCCTCATCTAACCCAAAATGATCCTTTGCTTATATCAAAAGACGAAGCAACACGAGCCCGTCCATCCCTGTGTTGTTCGGTCCAGACGGCTTTGCTGCTGTTACTGATCTTGACAAAGCTTATTTGCTTGGGAAACAGCACGCAGGCGCATTTGACCGAGTCCCACCTGCCGCGCATTAGTTTGAAGGTAAAAGTTCCTGTAGACGCTTACGTGGAGGAGGTTTCTACATCGGAGGTCAAGGTGCTGAAGCTGCAGAAGTGAACACTAACTATCCTAAACTGCTGTCCAATTACGCGACTGTTGGAGAACTCACTGCGCAGCTGTCTTCTACCTGACGACTGGAGAAACGCCAATTCATGAAACGTTTATAACAAATGTGACAAACATCTTCCTGAGAACTGTAGACTAGTTAGCCTAAACAGCGTGTTAGTCAAGCTCCGAGAAAAACTTGTCGGGGTTGCCCTTGAAAGTCATTATAGGGGGGTTTGGGTTGTATAACCTCTTTCAACATCGCTTTCCTAAGGGTTATACTTGCCCTACCAACTTGCTAGTTGCACGCGAAAAATGGGCCGATGTGCTTAACCAAGGAAACATCCTGGACGCATTGTGCATCGATTTCTCCAATGATTTTGTCACTGTTCTGCATTTTGGCCTTTCGTACTGCTACTACTACTACTGCTGCTGCTGCTGCTGCTGCTTCGCTGCCGTGCAAGCACCAATAGTCGCACGCGGACTGAGTTTACTGTGAGGACGCCCAACGCTACACAGATTCGAACCAGTGCCGCAAGATTGCGAGACAAGCTAGTTACATGTAGGTTATGGGCCGGCTGACCTCTACGTGGTCTCTTTTCCAGCCAAATCCTGCATGAGCGAAAAGGGCGGAGTGCGGCAAACGCACAGCTAAAATGCTCAGGAGGTGACTGAGACATCAACTGGCGCAGCAATATCAGCTTGTTGGAGGGAATATTCACATTCTCGAAGACACGACTTCAGAATTCACTGTGGAAGATGTGTTGTTGCCACCAAAAGCGAAGAATCCTCCGCAAGCACCCGTTGTCGAAGACCGAGAACCGGCGCATGTCGTCTATGCGAACTGCCCATGATTCGCTTCCATAAGGCAACACCGCCCGAACAGGGCACTGCAAATACGACCCTTTACCAAGTGGGAGACATACCGACGACGCCACAAGTGTTTCGCGTCGACAAATGTCGACCGAGCTTTGGCGATGCGAACAGAAACTTCCTTTCCAACGCTACCACCTGCAGACCGAGCTGCCCAGATAGATAAAGTTATCCACTTGCTCAAGTTGTGTACTTTCAGTAGTGAGCACGGGGACAGCAAGTGCCAATCCTGAAGAAGCACTTTACACTTTGACGGGACAAAGCAAATTGCGTACCTTGATGCCTTAATCGCCAAACGATTTAGAATGGTTTGCATGCACTGTGGGTCTTCACCAAGTAAGACAATATCCTTGGCATAATCTAAGTCAGTCGCTCGCTTGCCCGGTAGTAGAGGTAGGTCAAAATTTTGGTAACCGTCTAGAGCTTTCGACAGGACGTCTTCAACTTTGCGATTGGACGGGGACATAGGGCAGCCCTGTCGCACATCGCTATTGACAGCGTAGGAAGACGAAAGCCTGCCATATACTCTCACTCTACCGGAGACGTGGTGGCAGAGTGCGCTTAGGATGGTAGTGGACCTTTTGAGATCCCGTTCCTTAGCAAACAACACTATAGCATAAGTCGATCAATCGAGCCAAATGTGTAGGAATGCAACGATGGCAGACATCTGGTAAAGATGGCGGTGTTAGAGGATTTGGCGTAGCGTGAATATTTGATCCACGCACCAGCGGCTAGGTCGGAAGTCATCTTGTTCTTCGCGGTACTTTGACTCACGATGGGAGATAGTCTACGGAGTAGAATGGATGCCAATGGCTTGGAGGCAACTGAAATGAGACTAATCCCCCCGGTGATCTGTACATGAAGTGCAAAACCTTTTTTTAAAACTCGAGATAATAACTGAATCACCTCAGGAAGAAGGCAGCTTTTCTTCATGCCAGATATTTGGTAACAATGAGGTTAGCTGGCTGATGATAACTGCGCCTCCATCCTTGAACAGCTCCGAAGGAAGTCCATTTGAGCCGGCAGCCTTGAATCGTTTCAATTGTCGAATCGCAGGACAAAGTTCCGCCTCGCTGGGTGGACCAAGGGTGAGGATTTAGGACAGGCAGCTGGGTTCGCAGGGCACACAAGTGAACGGTGAGGGCCAATTGAACTGGGAATGAAAATGTTCGGCCCATTGATCCAAGCGTCTCTGTAGGCTGGCAATCGGCGAACCATCAGCTTCGCAATTAGCTGCACTGACACCAGGCTTTCTGTGACCAGTGTACTGAATGAGGTGAAAGAGATTGCGAGTATTGACAGAGGGCAGCGGTCTCCATTTCCGAAGCACGCTGAGATCACCGGGCTTCACGATCACTGTGTAGGCTTCGTTTGAGCTGCCGAATGACAGAATGACCCGTTTCATTATGATTAGACTCGGTAGGGAGATTTCTGCGGCGGTCAAATAGATCTAAAGAGCGCGTGAAGATCCAGGCCTTCATGGGATGATAAATAAGAGCACAGATTAACTGCCCGGAAGAGATCATGGAGCTCCGCATGAATGCCCAATGTTCACAAATGTCTTGCAGAGGATCACTGCTAAATGCATCGGCCAGGGAAGTTTGATAAATCTGCTGAACCGAGAAAGTAGAAAGTCTATTTGTATTTATCTTACAGTGCTTCCTTTCTGGAGACGCTCCAAAACTGATGCAGATGTTCACACAAGAGCACGGTCTGAGTCAAGAAATGTGGTCCAGATTGATCTGCAATCTTTGACACTATCACGCCATCTGAAACTGAGTACGATATGATCGCTCTGAGATCAAGATCAGGACGCAGAAGGGGGTCGCCAAGTAGCGGAGCGTCTCTTCGAATGCCGAAAGCAGGTGCTTGACAGAAATAAACGATTGTCTTTGGACAATGTGAGAAGTCCCCATTATCTGAGCGGCTCTCATCGAGCGAATGGTGACCACCGAGGTGACTTTCCCATGACAACAGACGACCGACCCGTGCGTTGAGATCCGTAGCAAGGACAACAATATCGGATTTGCAAGCTCTATCAAAGAGCTGATAAAGTTCACGGTAGAAATTGGCCTTGACCGAGTCGGGACTGCAGTCAGTTGGTGTAAGCCGAGACCACAAACAAGTTGCGTCTCTCCACACGAAATCCGTTGATTCTGCATGATCTCCGATGCCGAACTGCATACAGTCAAAAACCAATTCAGCAGTGTGGATTCGGCTTTGCTGCTTAGCACTACACCAACGCCAGCCAAGCCCATCACAGCTGCCTCTGTCATCAGATAGACATACATGAAATATGGCTCCGCGGTCGGTGGTAGATCTAAACCCAAACACAGTACTGGAGTCTTGAAAGCATGTTTCGAAAAGATATCAAGCACCGATGACAATGGATTCTAAGGTGCACACAAGACCATCCTGGTGCCTGATCTGCATAAGTGTACGTACATTGAGGCATGCCAGACGGAACGAGGAGGAAAAAGGGCCAATGGACGAACTATGTTGGTGTCGACGAAACCATCGGGAGTGGAATCATGGAAACACGAATCAGTTGGCAACGGATAACAGTGAATGGTAACAAGTGAACAGGTGGCGTATGAATAAGGTGTGCAGGTAGCAGAAGCTAAGGCAGCTGAGCGCGATATAGCAGAAGAACGATCTATGGTTTTTCAGTGTGTGTGATACTACCTGGTTGCCCATATATTTTTGCAACAGTCTATGAATAGACATTGCACCATCGGAAACCATGGAA